CGGAGATGAGGACTTTTGAGTAGAAGATCAAGATTAGATGGTTGATCTTAGCTTGTCATGTCGATTGTGAGGGCGGGGGGATGACAACACGTTTAAAGTCGAAACAGTTGAGGCACCTGGCACTTGAACATAGGATGTAAAAGGTGGGCCACAAGTAGTGCTGGAGAAGTTCAAGGAATGTCGCAATAATCACGGAAGGCCCGTTTACAGCACTTATTGCATTCAAGGAGGTTAAAAAAAATCAATAAATCAAATGAATTGTTGCAGTATTTATAAAGTTCTTTCTGGAGTGAGTGACAAACAGCGTGCAAAAAAAATAAAAATTTAGCCACAGACATTCAACTTGTGCTATTTGGTAATCCAGCAGCGCTCAGGCCCTCTTTTGTCGTTGTATAGCCGCGAATAAATATGGCCTTGAATGGCTTTTTCCTCGGGCTAATTGTTGGCATTGGGAGTTGGAGGTGTCACAAAAGCTAAATATTAGCGTCAGTCACGGTTCTGGTTCACAAAAGGCGTGTTTTTTTGCCGCGTTTTGGGTGGGAAAGAAACCCACACTGGAGCGTTAGAAACATACATTCAGTTCGGTGTTTATGTTGTCACAAAACAACATTCGGGGAAGTCTTGAAAGATCAGCTCCGAAGCGAGAGGTTTTATTGAGAAGAAATGCCTGGCAGTCAATGAATGAACGGCTCCGCACCTTCTTCATATTTGCATAGAGACAAAACAAGCTTTCTTTCTTAGCGTGTTAGACAAACGACTCGCAACTCATTTGGAGGTCACATCTGTTATAAAAGGGCGCTGTGGTCGGCACAAGAATACGGCGGGCGGAAAAATAAATGCATGTTTGCCGAGACGAATGTACATATATGGAAGGAACGTGTAGCGAGCGGCAGAAGCGCTGCCGAGTCCAGCGAAACATACGGAAAAGATGCTAACTCTTCGCCTTTCACCGGCTCCGCGGGGAACATAAACACGAGTGCGGGCCAGTCAAATAAACAGGCAATAAAGCAGCGCTCCGCTTTTGGTTTGCGACGGTCGCCATGGATACTGGGGGGGTGCTGCTGCTCCCCACCCTCCCAGCCATGTTGCGCACACGTGAGCATTTGCATTGAAACATAAGATTCAATGAAGCGCGGCGAGGCTCGGGCACGGCAGAAAAGAAAACAACTCTCTGACCCACGAGCCCACGTCGAGAGGCCCCACATTTCATTTTGGACGGCCCCAGAAGGGGAGAAAGAAAGAGAGGGAAGGGGGGCGGTGGGGCTGGGCTGGGCCTTTTGCAACTCGTCACTCTGTCCGGCCCTGCTCACTCGATTTTGGTTTCCTGGGCGCATTTTGGCTGTCATCATCCTCCTCCTCCACCTCCTCCTCCTCCTCTTCATCATCATCATCATCGGAGGTGGTGCGCCTGATGAAACAAACCCTGACAGCCTCTTTACATTTGCAAAGGCCCCTGCAGCAGCTGTGCTCGTCCCACACTCGCACGCACACACAAAATTGGGAGTGTGAGGCTCCAGCTGGGGCCTACAGGAAGGAGCGGCATCAGCGCAGCAACAACAACAAACAACAAAAAACATGGGTGTCGGAAACGCCTTTTCGTTTTTTTTTTTTTTTTTCCCCCCCCCCCCCCCCCCACTGTCGCCGCGCGCATGGAGGACGACAGCACTGCTACCAGGTTAACCTTCGCAAAGACATTTTTGGTTTAAGACAATGCCACAAAAGAAAAACTGTGCAAGTCGTGACTCGACGGTGTTGTGGAAACAGGAGTTCAGAACATTGGGGCGATTCTCATCAAGAATAACTTTCCTCTTAGTCGATCAGGGAAAACTGGTTTATTGTCCCAGTTTAGTCTAAGTAGCATCGAAACAATGACGTGGGAATATCTCGTGAGACTTTAGCCACTGGTGCGCAGGCAGAGTTTAGAACAAGAAAATTCGTCCATTAAAATTATTTTCATAGACATCTCCACTCTCCTCAAGACGAGGCATAAACATTGAGCCCAAACAAAACCACCTGTGGCGGGATGAAAACACGATCAGCTCGGTGCGCACCACATAATTTATTCTACACTGACATCTAAACAGGAGTTGAGAACATTCAGCGGACAAGCCTTAAAAAAACATTTCAAGTCAAAATTTTGTGTGACACCAAGCAGAAACTACAGAAAGATGTCGGCAAATCTCGTGAGCATCTCAAGCACTTTCCACTTTGACTAAAAGGAGGGCATTGCGCTCAATCCGCTACAGGCTACGTTATCTGGCTCCACGTGACAATAATCTGGAAGCGGGAGTTCAGAACATTGATAAACAGCCTTCTGCCACCTCATTAAAAATACTTCTACATTCAGAATATCCACGCGATCGAGAAACAACCATGAGAGACGGCCCAAACGAAGCTGGGCTGCGAACTCGCCATGATTTCCTCCCGAGGACAAAATTATGGCAGCGGGGCGTTTTCCAGTGGATCAGTTTTGCCTGGTTCGCTTTTATTACGCTTAATCAATGATTTCATTACTAATGAAGACGCTATGGTTTATTGGGGTCTGGGGGGGTGGTTGCTCGTGTTTGAGGGGAAATGGTTAAGCCGAGCATGCATAATTGTCTTACGCTAATTAAGGGAGGGCACCGGGGGATCAGTAAGGCCCGGCTTGAAAACTGGATAGAGGGGGTTAGTAGAATGAGGGAGGTGGAGGGGTGGGGGGTTAAGAGTTGTCCTTGCAGGTTTGGCAGAAATGTCGACGCGCCGACTGCAAGCAGCTGCTGATAAATGCAAGACAGATGTGGAATATGCGCGTGCTAGCGGCGGAAAAAACTCCACAGACACAATCATGGCACTCCAAACCGTTTCAGTATGAGGTCATCCGCACACTTCTAGATGGCAAAAGCTCCTACGGAGCTATTAGTTTATTTGTTTAGCGACCAGGCACATTTGTAAACAGAAAACTTTTTTTTCCGAATTAAAATCAAAACATAGCTACATCTCTGCTCTTCTCCACTTTGCAAAGAGTGCAAATGACCTTTTGTTAGCCATGCTAGTTAGCTACTTAGCTGCCTTGGCAGAATGTCTTCAATTGTAGACGCGTTAACTCTCATAACTGTTCTCAGCTTTAAAGTAATGCATTTACATTATCTGTTCATCCGATTGTAAGACGCTGTGTGGCTGAATGAAAGCACACATATCTACCACGATATGCCCCATTCTTTGGGTTTAATGTCAAAGGTCATGTCATCCTTATAGGAATTGTGCGCGATTTCTGTCTGTAAGAGACTAATGACAAGTGTTTATCTGGCGGTGGGCTGCGGCCTTGACTGGTTTCTGTGTAAAAAGGCATATAAAATGCAGTCATTGTTCTCAAAGCAAAATATGCCAACGATGGCTTCAAACGAGTATTTTTGTCATGCTGGATTCAGCGCCAACCAACTACCTGTTGTGCTTTGTTTAAACTTGAGATGGCATAAAAACGCTATATCTTCTTTGATGGGAATTTCGCAGGATCTCTGTAAGAAAAGACTAATGGCGCATCCCGTCTTATGGTCACTGCATTCTGTGTGAAAGAGGCACACCCAGAAAGCTTCTTGCTGCAATTCTGATGGTTCTCAGTGTGAAAGTCCCGTTTATCATTCATTTTCATCAGTGTGATAGGACACTGTGCGGCTGGGTTTTGATTAAAAGACGAAAGCCGACAGATGCGAGGTGATCTCTTATAGCGATTTCACAGGATCTGTGTGAAAGAGACTCACATTTAATACAAGTCCATCCATTCCAACTACGGTGATGCATATATTTAATAGTAGATGACAAAATCGTTGCCGACAAGCTGCTCAACCAGACATTGAACCCTTGGGTTTTCTGTGCCAAACGAGCGAGTACGTGAACGCAGCACCACCAACAACGTGCGAGTACGTGCAGCAAACTTTAAATGGCCAGACGAGACGGGAACAAAGCGACTACACGACAACTTCAACGACACGTTATAAGACTACACGACCCCCGCAAAATTCACATAACTCTTGCCAGCTGAGAGTGAAATACCCACGGCCCGTTCGCCGGCGGCGTTGCACGCGAGCAGAAAATGGTCGCTTCTCGTCACGTTCATGAGCCCCACGTCCCCCTGCAATGCGACTCGTTTAAACGAGTCGGTTAACAAAACAAAAACATCCTTGAAGCGTAAAAGTCACCATTTTGTTGTGTTGTTTAGGGTGGGGAATGACGCTAGCAGGCTAACCGCGCGAGGTTTTGCTTCGATGTTAGCTAGCTAGCAGAAGGTCACGCCAATACCTGCCGGATTCCAAATCGCCACCCCAAAAAGGGGCTACCAAAGTGGGATAACTCGTGTATACGACCCGCCCCTTCTTCCCTCCCACGGAAAACACGTTGAAATGGGGGTTAAATACAAGATGGAAAAAAAATGATGATTTTGCGTGACCCCCTTTCCCTTCCACGCTCACTTGGACGAGGAAGGGGCTGATTAAAGGGACCACAGACGACAACACACTCGCGTGGAGTTAAAAGACGCTCGCGTGGAATTAAAGCGCTCCAAAGCTGGTGTTATTATTCGTCAACATTTCCCCCCTCCACAAAAAAGTGAGATAACACGAAGAGACCGAGCTGGGGGCTGGTGGGGTGAGAGCCATGGCCGACGATGCCGACGACTGCCCCCCACACTGAAACGCGAGCACACAAAAAGCCATTTTGGCTCCAAATTAAAGCCACGTTGTGTCAATTTAACACAATTCAACCCAATTAGCACAAAAGTGGACACAATGTAGTCAGGCACGGTCGCGAAACCAGCAACCGCGGCCACAAAGGTGTCCACAAAAGCTCCGAAAGAGGACTAAACATTGATGAATGCTGGAGTTTGACGTCAAATTTGGGGTTTAAAACGTGTTTTGAAAAGGCACAATCTGCCTGCTGGGAGCTTCACCCGCGACTCTTCCTTCACCTTCCCTCCAGATGAAAGTTGAAGCATTTAAAGGAGAGAAACTTGAAGGTGTACTTACGTATTTCTTCTGAATAATATTCCGTTTGGGTCTTTCTTTGCTCATTATGCACTCTCTCCCCCCACCCCCAAAGAGGGAAAACTAGAAACGAGAGAGTGGCCACATGAATGTCTCCCCTCACCCCCCCCCCGAGGAGCACCAGCGAATTAAAATCCCCGAAGAGGAGAGAGAGAGAGAGAGAGAAAAAATCCTTTAAAAAAAAACCTTCTTTCGCTCGGCGTTTATCCTTCAAAGTTGGTTAAAAACCGGTAAAATATTCCCGTTGGAGGGCCGACGAAGGACCGAAGCCGAGTTCACTCGGGAGTACCATAGCCCAAACAATCGCAACACAACAATAAGTTCCGTTCGGCTGCTCAGGCTCGGATCCCGGTTCTTCTTTCACCATCGTCCGCCGCCGCCGCGCGTTAGGTGTTCATATCCCTCCTCCAGGGCACAATAAATAGGGTGAATTAAAAAAAGACTATCAACCTACGTATATATATAAAAATAACAACAAAACAAAAAAAAATACGCGTCTTATGTCCTCTCTCGCCGGAGCTTCGCTGCTGCGGTCGTCTCGAGAGCGTCTCCAGCGGCACTGGCGAGTCGAGTCCGAGCAGCTCCTTTCTTCGCAGGCGTCAGCCTATCACGACGCGGAGGAGCAGCGGCAACTTTAAATATGCCTCTGAGGCGGCCCCACGCAGAGAAACCACGCAAAAAGAGACCCCATGGAGCTCTTAATCTGTCCATGTGTGCCTTTACGATAGGTGACCGCAACACGTCGGACTCGAAAGAGAGTTTTAACGCCGTGAAACAGAAATGAACACTTAAAAGAGAAAACTGGGAAATCAGAAAATTAGAGGGACAAGTGAACGCCCCTTTTACTGAGTTATGGTGCGTTCCGCATACCTCGGAAATCTGAAAACTACAAGGTGGAAAGTCAAAGAATTCAGAAAGTGGTCCATCAAAGCTCGGAGAGCAAGAAAACACGCCACGTTTTTACTGTGCGTCACACTCTGGAGAGTTTTACCACGATTAAACAGAAATTGGGATTTGTACTTTTTTTATTTTATTTTTAACGCCATCAAACAGAAATTAACATTTTTTATGATAGAAAGTTGGAAAATCAAAGCATTCAAGAGACAAGTGAACGCCCCTTGAAGTAAAATATTTGATAATGCTTTCTACAAACCTCCGAACTCTGAAACATATAAAAGCTGTGAATTGACGGAATTCATAAGACAGTTATAAGTTATAATTACCAGGGTGCGCTCCATAAACCTTCGTAATGTAGAAAATGTGATATGTATTTACTATCCGTCTCACTCCAAACTGAGTTTTAATGCAATTAAATCGTCATGGAGATTTTCATTGCAGAACGCTGGCCGTTCAGAGAATTCGGTGGACCCTCAATTTCTGACCTCTGAAATAGGAAAAATAGAATGCAAAGAAAAGTCGGATTTGAATGTAGCATGATAAAAGCAATCCAATTGGATGCTTAGTCCGCTTGTTCGGGAATGCCAGGACATAATTGCAATTAAAACGAAAATAATTTCACGAAATAGCACTTATGTGAATGTATTTCTCCAAAACATTAAACACAATCAGATCGGAGGTTTAAAAAGTTGGGGATGAAACAAAAGGAACAAAACAATGAGCGTCAGAGGCTTCTCAGAGTTTATATAAATTGGCCCCCATCCCCCTCCCTCTACTTCCAACCAACCCCCCTGCATTGTTTCATATCAGGAAACTGCAAGGTTCAGCTCTTTAAAAAAAAAAAAAAAAAAAAAAAAAAAAGTCAGGCCAATGCCTTCATGCTAATCTTGGTAACGCTAATACCTGTACAGCGCAAGTGATTGAAGAAACCACCAAAGAAATACCTTTTTTTTTTTTTTTAATGAAAACTTGTCATTCAACGTTGACACGGTTGAAACTGGAGCCAGGAATTATTTACAGTATATAATCTGTCCAATCATTATTCATTTTGCCCCTCGATCAATGTCCGTCTGTCCCAACAGCCTCAGGAGTCCTGTAGGCTATTCTGCGGCTGCCTGTTTCTTGCCCCCCCACCCCACCCCGATCCTGGCCTACCCCCTCCCGTGCCTCCCCTCGGTGTTGGTTTGCTCGGGGGTCTCGAGGCCCGCTGGCTGGTGCTGACATTTGGGCCGCTGTCGATCGATGAGACGAGATGCCCTGAGATCTTGACGTCATTAGCAGAAACGCCAGGCCAATACGGCGCTGAGGGCCGCCATTGTTGTTTTTGTTGTGACCAACTCGCATAGATTGAACATCTTTTCACGACAGTCTTCAGCGTTTGCAAAAACAATGCCGATTTCAAAAAGTGTTGCACTACGACTGCTGACATGTTAATTGCGACGTCCTCAGACATGCTACATTGAACACGGGTACTTGTTGGCCATTTTCAGCAGTGGCACAAAATCGCTTGTGTTTTTTAAGTGTTCTCTTAAATATTCGTGTCTTTGTATGCTGAAAGACATTCACACGCAAATGGAAAAAAAAAAAGTAATTGTTGTCAGTCAGGTTAGATGTCATTTTTTTAAACTGTTACACAACAGCGCTTGTCTTCTTGTGTTGCGCTAGTCCATGGCCAGAAAACCGAGTTACATTTGCGCTCATCAACAGCCAGACTGGCTGGTGTATTTTTCTTCTTTTTTTTTTTCTTTGGTTGCTCTTTCAAGGGACTTGTGGATTTAAAAGTGCTCTTTGGACACTCGTATAAACGGCAAAGCCAACAAACTGTAGAGTGTGTGTGTGTGTGTGTGTGTGTGTGTGTGTGTGTGTGTGTGTGTGTGTGTGTGTCCGTGCGTGTGTGTGTTTGTGTGTGTGTGTGTGTGTGTGTGCGCGTGTGGTGGAGACGGCCAGGAATTGATTAGAGCTTTCACTCTCAATGTGGTTAATTGCCCAGTGAGGCTTAGCAGACGGTGCTGGCTAGATTGATGTCCGATATCCAGGAGGGGGGAGTCTGTGTGTGTGTGTGTTTGTGTGTGTGTGTGTGTGTGTGTGTGTGTGTGTGTGTGTGTGTGTGTATTTGCGTGTATGTGTGTAATGGAGGCTGAACTGATTCAGGAAGCATTGATAAGGGGCCAAGAATTCTCCAATTAATGTTGAAAGCTGCACTGCTTAAATGTCTCACAACACTGTGGAATGATAAAGCCCAAAAGAGTTTTCCAGGGTAGTCGGAAAAATAAAATGTAATCAAGAAAAAATAAGAAACAAAATGTCACAAAAGTAGCATCATGAAGGGGGTTGTTTTGCTTGGACGTTCTGGTTTACAATATACAAAAAAAAAAAAAGTAAAAATCAGGATTCCCCCTTTTTCCAGAGCCTCAACGGGGTGGGTGGTGGGGGGGAAGGGAATACATGCTTTGCGGGCCCCCGAAACTCAAAGTGTCCTCGAGGGCCCCGAAACTGGGATGAAGTGCTCTAAGTTGACCCATCTGGAAGGTAAACGCACAAGCGTGTTAAGATCACAGCCTGGGCGCCACAGGCTGCGGCTTGCTTTGGCTAATGAGGCGCCCATCCCGATGCTCACCTGGCAACCCTTTTCAAAATCCACCGCCGGCTTTTCAACTTTTTCCCTATGCGGCCTCGTTTCCTTCTCTTTGTTGTCCATTTCCTGGTCCGGGACAACAAAGACCATGTCACAACAATGGTATTGGGGATATAATGTATTTGATCATGCTGCGATACCATCGTTGTCCAAATATGGTCAATCTTTCCTTTCGACACAAATTTGATACGATCGGTCTGTCGCCACATCATCTGCACTATTAAAAAAATTCAAAGTGTTGAAAATAGCTTGCCCACGAATCTCTTCGCTCTGCCTGAGAAGTGTCATAAAAGTCCATCAGTCTACCAGTCCATTTTTTTTTTCATTCTGTTGTGCTTTTTCTTTGGCTTTTTGGTGACCCTTGTGGGCAGATTTGCATGGCCCTGCCTCAATTTCACATTTTCCACAAGACGTTGAGTTAAACCAGAGCTAATTCTCCAGTATACCCCCCCCCAGTTCCCCCCCCATCCCTCCAAAAATCCCACTAGCATGTGAGGTACCTTTTACGCCAGCGGCACCCCACGGTGAGGATCGGCACTCAGCCATGCATCCTTGAGCCCACTCGCCCTCACACACACACACACACACACACACACACACACACACACACACACACACACACACACACACACACACACACACACACAAAATCTATCCTTACTCACTTAGTTCAAGTACAATTACCCGTATTTCATCGGCAAATCAAACCAGAGCTGACAATCAAAATGAAAGTAACCTTCTCGCACGCAGCTCACGCTACAGCCGGCCTATTAGCCACGAGACGTACGGAGCTATATTCCGGCGCCCACCCGGGGATATGCAAATGAGAAGGACCTCCCGTGTGACTTATCTCGCTTTTTATCATGCAAAACATCTTGGCCTGATAAGCGAGGGGGCTCTTTTGTGAGCAGGTTATCACATTTTTTTTCAGTTAACTTTAGTCAAAAGATGTAAAAAAAATCTGGTGAGTGTAATTACAGTGCAACATCAGCTTGTTTTGAATTACTCGTGCACATCTAAAGGCGCTATTGAATAATGAGGCACAGGATATGATTGGAAGTAACATCGGGGGAAAAAAAAACAACTTCTCCTTACGTCGCTTCTCCGTTTCCGAGCATCTCGGTGCGTCTTTGTGTGTCGGACCACCCAGACGGCACCCCGGCCCTGGCGGGCTCCAGCTGTTCCCCTGCTGTGGCTCCAGTTTGTGTTACTTTGTCCCACCCGAGCGACCCACTTTCTCCGTTTTCCTCGCTACCAAGAAGAAAAATCGGGGGAGCTTTTGTGTCCCGTGCAGGTGCCTCAGCTATGGGGGGGGGGGGGTAATTCAGCCTGGGACAACCCCCAAACCAACCCTCCCTCACCATTCTTCCCCCACCTGTGACAGGTCTTGACCCACATGAGTCAGACCAGTCACCCCTTAGCGTTACAAGCTTTTTGTGGGAGCGAACCGGCGGCACACTCCAGACCAGTCCGGTTTTGGCAGCCAGACGGTGGAATTTAGAAGCTGAAGCGCCCACCGCACCCGGCATGATGCGGCTGAAACCGTCTCGTATTGGATCATCACAAAAATAACGACAATTGCGACTCACTCCCGCAAATTGTGAGATTTAGTTATGGGGGGCTTGTGACGTTAAATGGTGAGCCCGGATAAGCTTTTGAGGGTGCACATATAGCGTATTGTACTTTGTCACTTGAAACCAAACACGATAAGCAATTTTGCTACAAAAAGAGGACTTGAGCGACAATAAAAGTGAGAGCGGGGCTATATTGAGAGGCTTACCTTCCCTAATTCACTGCAATGGACCCAGCATGGGATGTACTTATTGGGTTCCAAAGTGTTTTTAGTCATCGGTTACATAAATCGAGATGGAGCTGAACAAACCAGTGATCGAAAGCCACTGTGAAGTGAAAATAAATCTCTTGCGAATCGGTCACACCACAGCACTAATTGAAATGCAGTTTGCTCAGAGGTGTTATGGCATGACTCCTTCTTGTGACTGGCGAACAAGTCGGCCTTGAGCTTGTAAAAAAAGTACACCGGGACAGTTCAGAAAGCCACACGTTTTGTGGCTATTAACATTTCTACCCAGAAAGCCGGTTTAGTTCTGTTGGATTTGTTTTGATAACTGCAACAGTGACAAAAATTGGGCGAAACGATACTGGACAAATGTCATGTACATCAGAAAACACTCATTCTGTGAACTGGTCTGTGACTTTGAACATGTTTCTTAACTTTTCCGGGGCATGACTTTCTTCTTGCTTCTGATTGGCTGTCACAGCCTTAGTGGTTGTGATGCTTGTGGTAGTTTTTTTTTTTTTTTTTTTTTTTGGTGTTATTTCAAATTAAGAGTCTCCGTGGATGACTTTAGCGACGCAAAGTGTTTGCGGTCATAGCCGGATGGATGCTTATATCCCGTATTATACTCCCAAATTGCCTTTCAGTCAAGCATTAAGTATATTTAAAAAAAAAAAAAAAAAAAATCAATTTTCCAAAGCACATCACATGTGTTAATCCTGCCTTGTTATCTAGCACATCAAAGCCAATTTATCCCGATTTAACATCAGTTCTCAGCCCGGCCAAGAGGAAAAGCACCGGCGTATGAATTAATGATGCCCCCCCCTCCCCACCCTACCCCTACCCCCTCCTCCCACCGCCATCTTGATTAATATAACCTCCCCGCTCCCACAAAAATGAGTTTCATCTCTCTCTGAAATGATGCAAGAAAACTTCATCAGATTGCCTCCAGATTAAGAAAAAAAAAAAACAGTTCTGAGGTAAACAACCTCCCCGCCGATCATATTAATTATCATTGCTTTCAATTACAACATCCAGCCAGGGCCTGTCAACTTCCTGTGGAGGAGACGCCACCCACCACCGCCGAAGCCGTCACCCCCGATAACGTCCCGAGCGACCCCGCTGCAGCCACCCTGCCGCCGCCAAAGAATTGTCAAGATGAAGTTCCTGTGGAGACGCCGCCGAAGCCATCAGCCCCGCTTGCGTCGCTGCACCATCCACAGCCACGCGATCCACAGTCTGCCGCCAACACAGGAATGCTGTCAAGGGGACCTCTCAGTAGACCGAAGGCCACAACCCACTGGTGCCATCCCAGCTGACGCCATCACCAGCGTCCTCCTCTCCATCCTCTTCGACTCCCGACATGAAACATCCATTTCAGTCATATGAAATATGGAAAGGCTCCTCATGAATTGTTTATGCGCCAGTGCCTGCCGGGGACGTATTTTTTTTTTCTCCGAGTTAATATCTGTCCTAAATTGTCAACCACACTCCTGTCATCAGGTCATAAGGTCTTGAAAGCTTCTTTCACACCAGGGCTCTGCAAAAACAGTCGCATCTGACACAGTGACACGGCATCCCGCGATTACATGACGTCAAGTAGCACGTATGAAAAACTGGTCCGACAGCAACAACAGGGCAGGATTAGCGATTGTCGGGTGTCAAAGTTCACCCTCATGTCCCAATGTTTTGGTAATCCCATTACACACACATCAAGTGGCATCTACACAAAGTTTAGCAATAGCAATACACCCCAAAAAATACAAATCGTACCAATCAAACAAGTAGCGGCACTTAGCGTCAACATAAATGCGCTCATGTGCTAATGCGCGGCGCAGTTCCGGCGCGCCAAGGATACGGCCAGAAAGCCGCCGGTCAGACTTTGGGGTTTTTATATTTCCTCTTTATGTGATTGATGGCGAGCAATACGAGCACATCGGAGAGGCCCACTGACCCAAAGTGCTTCACTGCAACTCGTGCGGTCATAATGGAGCACTTGGGAGCGCAGCACTTGAAAAATGATGCCGATATATTATTCATCTCTTCCTCTTGCACCCACGTCCCGAGCGACCCCGCTGCAGCCACCCTGCCGCCGCCAAAGAATTGTCAAGATGAAGTTCCTGTGGAGACGCCGCCGAAGCCATCAGCCCCGCTTGCGTCGCTGCACCATCCACAGCCACGCGATCCACAGTCTGCCGCCAACACAGGAATGCTGTCAAGGGGACCTCTCAGTAGACCGAAGGCCACAACCCACTGGTGCCATCCCAGCTGACGCCATCACCAGCGTCCTCCTCTCCATCCTCTTCGACTCCCGACATGAAACATCCATTTCAGTCATATGAAATATGGAAAGGCTCCTCATGAATTGTTTATGCGCCAGTGCCTGCCGGGGACGTATTTTTTTTTTCTCCGAGTTAATATCTGTCCTAAATTGTCAACCACACTCCTGTCATCAGGTCATAAGGTCTTGAAAGCTTCTTTCACACCAGGGCTCTGCAAAAACAGTCGTATCTGACACAGTGACACGGCATCCCGCGATTACATGACGTCAAGTAGCACGTATGAAAAACTGGTCCGACAGCAACAACAGGGCAGGATTAGCGATTGTCGGGTGTCAAAGTTCACCCTCATGTCCCAATGTTTTGGTAATCCCATTACACACACATCAAGTGGCATCTACACAAAGTTTAGCAATAGCAATACACCCCAAAAAATACAAATCGTACCAATCAAACAAGTAGCGGCACTTAGCGTCAACATAAATGCGCTCATGTGCTAATGCGCGGCGCAGTTCCGGCGCGCCAAGGATACGGCCAGAAAGCCGCCGGTCAGACTTTGGGGTTTTTATATTTCCTCTTTATGTGATTGATGGCGAGCAATACGAGCACATCGGAGAGGCCCACTGACCCAAAGTGCTTCACTGCAACTCGTGCGGTCATAATGGAGCACTTGGGAGCGCAGCACTTGAAAAATGATGCCGATATATTATTCATCTCTTCCTCTTGCACCCACCGCGCCATTAGCGTATATTGCCGAACAGCAGCCGAGAGTGAATACCAATGTTGCACCTTCTATCCGAGGATGTCTCTTTCCCCCCTAGCCACGTGTGTCCAGCTATGCAGCATGCGGCGAATGCATGAAGCTAACCTTGTCATATATTTTCAAGAAAAGGTCGTGCACTGCATGTTTGACAAAAGTCATACATTTGCGAGGGGGGAAAATAATGTAGATCTTTTGAGGACAAAAGAACAGCACAAAGTAAAAACATAAA